ATCCTATAGCCACAGAGGAAGCACTAGCACTTATCTATCCTATAGCCACAGAGGAAGCACTAGCACTTCTTTCATACTGCATGACGTCTTCTTAGAGTCTTCTAGAAGAATCAGATAGTCCTACTCCTATAGTCATCAGCAGACCTCAGTGAGGTTACCTCACACCTCCTCACACCTTCATCACGATCTTGCTTGACTTGTTCACTGCTATGCATACGACTCTGCAAAAATCCACAACCACACTCCGCTTACACAGCCGTGCTCCTTTCCACAACCATACTCCGTTGCTCAGCTCCATCACTAGTCTAGTCAGCTCCATGTTACTTCTGAAGGTCCATGTTAGACTTCACACCTTTTTCTTCAGCTCCATCAGTATCTAAGTTGGTCCTGCCCTTTTTCTCAGCAGTTGGATCTTACTTCTTCTTACCTAAAAAATGAAGACCGCGTTCATTTTCTTGAACATAGTCATGATAATGTGCTGTGGACTTGAGTTTCGAAAATAACTAAGGAGTTAATTTGAAAACAGAGCTGGCCACCTGTAGTTACTGCATTCTTGAACTTTTCCTACTTTTGTCGACAACAGGCCAGTCTTGTTGTTATTTCTATCGGCGTACAACAACTTCTACGTCGTGGTATGTCTGTGGTATCCCAATTTGTCTTTTTCTGGTCTCCTGTGAAACGCACTGATGTCTTCCGAGCTCAGACTTCTGGAGCCATGGCCCCTGCCTGTCGCATGCCAGAAATCTCTTAATCTTAATCTTAACCATCTTGATGATATTGCGTTTTCTTACTCAGTCGACAAGAGGCCACTACTTGCATTGGAAAAGACCAGCTCGCACTACTTGCAAGAGCATTGTCAACTCTCCACCCCTTAACCCCTTTGCAAACTTCTTCCTTGAGCAAAAAGATAAGGGACCTTGAATACTACTCAAGGTCTTCTAGGTAAATGAAAGAACGCATGAACCACGACTGAATTCTGCCCTTTAATACAATCTTCACAGTCATCAAGAAGAACTAATGAACGGATGAACGCCCTTTACTACAATCTTCACAGTCAAGAAGTGGCACTACCTCGCAATAAAGTGTAAGAACAACGCTCTTCAAGATCTAGATGATGAAGAGAGGTGGATCATGAGGATGTTGTCTATTGGATGTTCCTTGGGCTATTGGTTCTGTTCCCTGATCTACATATAGCGGTGGTTCACTCCTTCTGGATCAGTTCTATTCTGTGAGGTGAGTCCTTCATGCTGTCTCCGTCCTTCCTGTCGATTGCGAAACGTACTGCGCCTCTATTGGTGGCCAGAAACTCCAAATCCAAATCCAATTCTTGCGCGAAATGTATATAGCCGAAATGTATATAGCCAAAACGTTCGTGCATGTTCGCTAGCAATATAGATCATCGTCTGCTGCACAAATCGATACCACCAACTGCCACCATTGTCGTGCGATAGATAAATTGAATAAAGGGTAGCTATTTAATAGAAAAGGTGCTTGATGTGCAAGTGCATGTAGTTCATGTAAGCGTTGCAGACGTGGTTGTTCTTGCACATGGAATGTGCCTGTGCATGTAGTTCATGTATTCAACCACTGGACTCTCCACCTCGATTCCCTTATCCCAATGACGAAATAGGTCAATGTGATGCAATGGCTGAGGACGAAGCAATAGATGATACTAGTATTTATAGTATTAGCAATTGGCTTGAATCTCTTAAGAAACGGACAGAGCGCATGCGAACCAGTTGTCACGATTGCGTCACCTGTCAGAAGAGCAGAATGATGATATTGAAATTGATAATGCAGTGCTTTCAGAAAAAGTAGCTTAATAAAATGTATGTGCCAAGTCTAAGGTGGTGATATTGAGGAAATATAATGAAATGTGAATGAGCTTATGAGCTGGGAAATGATGAAAAAGGAGGTTTTAATGCTACGAACTTAAGAAAAAGTAGTTCGTCTTGAGACATTGTTAGCCTCTAGTATCTGATTTGTTGTTACCTCAAGCTCAATTATGAAGCAACCACGTCCAAAATAGATAAGAATAACCTCCATTGTAGTTGAGCTACTTGTTCAGCAGCTATAACTCTCATCTTCACAAGAGTCAGCATTTGCAGCATAGAAGTCTGAATATTTAACTTGCACATCAAGAATGAGTGAATCTTCAAAATCCTCCACTGCCATGACGCAGAGGCAGATGACGAGAGGGAGAGGCTTGGATCCTGGCGATCGGATCATCGCAGGAGGAGGGGGATTCTTTTCGCCATCTCTCTGGGGTGGAACTTCGACACCTCTGCTGAATGTTCGCCCGTCACCAGTAGATGCAGCGACTGGCATCAAAGTTAAGGCTGTACCTAATATATCTTTGGACGTATCCTTGGGGCTACGTATGGAGGAGTATCCACCTAAGGGAGTAATACTCTCCCTCATACTTATTTTCAAGGATGCACTTGAAAGATGAATTACGGACAGCTCTAACAAAGGAGGAACCAGAGCAGGACCAACCAGAGCAGGACCAACCAAAGCGGGACCAACCAGAGCGGGACCGCCTGGGCCAGGTGTATTGGGAACAACAGGGCTAGAAGAGGATGACGATGATCGTGACGTGGATGATATCATAATAGTATCGGATGACGATGAGGCTAGTTGTTTCCGACGGGATGCCCTCGAGAAGTCATCTGCAAGAGTAGCTGCGACTTCAACAACCTCTTCGTCGACAACCACAGTCCGCTCATCAGCAGGTGGCGAAGGTGTCCTTTCCTCCACGACTAGTACTGCGGGTCGTATCAACGAAGATGATATCCACCTCCCATCGAGGACGATACCCTCCAAGACTACAACCTCGGGTAAAATTGCCAATAGTTTCATCATACTCAACGCCTCACTACGAACTTCGTGCGGAGCAGCAACGCTTCAGCCTTTGAGTACCGCACAACGAGGGTTGTCCTTCAGAACGTCGCCATCCAATTTGGGACCAACGAATAGTGCTGGTTCTTCATCGACGAGTGGAGGAATGAAAAACAGTTCTGGTAGAAGTTGTAACAATGCGAGTAGTAGTAGTAGTAGTAATGCGAGGACACCTGCTGGTGGCGCTCCTGTGGTCGTGCGTGTTGAAGGAGTCGTGGAGAATCAACAGATGAACTCTACGAGTCGTGCTTCCAATTCTTCCAACTCTTCCAACTCTTCTTCCTTTACACAGTCAGCAACTTCTTTTATGCAACATCGTGTTCAACTGACATCGGTCACAAATTGGAGCAGCAGGCGTGGAGGTGGCGCCAGTGGGTCAGGTGGCGCTGGAAAAGAGTATTTCCTTAGATGGATGGTTATACTTTTCATACCACGTAAATTCTAATCTAACGTACAAGATAGAGATGCAATGAAGTCTAGTCAACACAGTCGGGACGTTGAGTTCCACGTAGGGTGGTTTGATATATGTACATATGTAATAGTACTTCGACTCCACTCCTCCTTTGAACCACGTTGACGATCTCAGAGCACAAAATGCGGCACTTTTAGCAGATGCGAGAAGCGTGAAAGCAGATGCATTGGCAGAATCTGCGTTGGTGGACCAGCAGACGCGAGAAGCGCAGGAGAAGAGCCTGAAGGAAGAACAGGAACGGGAGCAAAGAAATGCAGCCGAATCAGAGAAGCTGTATTTTTACGACCTTCGTCAACATCAATGGAGTAGACCTAAAGCAAGCAAGAACAACAAACTTTCAATGACTGACACCTCTCAAACTTCTCCATGGAATGTCAATCAACACCTCAAATGAAATAAATCAGTGATACAAGAACACGCTTTCATGGCTTAGCGGCTGCTTTACCTTCAGAGCCAGAAGCAGGCACGGCAGATCGCCTCCCGGTCATGTTCCGTGTATCCGAGGGGAAGAGCGTAAAAACGACACTCTGCTCTTAAGGCTCCTGTACTAAATGGTTTGTGTAGTTTTCCTAAAGTCTCAAGCTCAAGTTCACTTAAAGTCGTAGCAAAGTCTTTGTTACCTAAAGTCGTAGGCTCCATTTCACACTGTTGCCTACTTTTAAGTGAAGTCATTTCGACGAAGATCTTTTGGAGGTGGACCTAGTAGTTCGGGTAGTCATTCTAGACGAGGGATCCAATCTAGTCCATTCATCACCATCAAGGGAAAACAAGAAGAGAACCCTTAGGATCGAACTCAGGTTACCAAATACCAGAATCATACAGCTGAAATTTGTGCGAGATTAATTCTATTGTATTGTATTCTATTCTATTGTATTGTATTCTATTGTATTGTATTCTATTGTACTGTATTGTATTGTTACCCTCTTCCTCTGTTTGTTACCAAGGTCTTCTTCTTCTGAAGGAGTGTCGCATTCTTGTTCTGAAGGGGATTAGAAGATCTTTTCAGGAGCTCTAATTCTCAACCCGAGGTGTTGAAGAAGCGACCAGGAAGATATCGGCTAAATCAGTAACATCGAAGAGTGCCTCACTAGAGCGGCCTTGGAGTGTGGCACAACCAACGAGCCTGTTTGGAGCAGCAACACTACAGCCTTTGAGTGACTCAACGAGCCTGTTTGGAGCAGCAACACTA